CTGATCCACTCAGGCCCGCGGTGCAGCCGGGGAGGCCCAAGGGCACCTGGGGTTTGCTCTCTGGTAAAATTAAGTGTGACCCCCTCCCTCGCACTCAGCCCTTTCCAACATGGAGACCAAGAGGGCACTGGTTTTCAGAAACACATTCACACTGTGCCCATGCAGGCACCGGCTTCCGCGTCTGATGCTCTGCATGGAGACAGGCTCTGCGAGCTCTGGACAGGCTGCTGGCAGCGCCCACCCCAAGTGCAGGGGACACCCCAGGCAGGGACGGACTCATCTCAGTGGGGAGCACCCCTAGCGAGACTCAGACAGGGCCCCCAGGGACAAATGGCCCGCCCGCACATGGGCAAGGCTGACACCACGGACACAGAGCACGGAGACTCGTTCCCACCGCACATACACAGGCAGACACGAGGCAACAGAGACGGGACAGGCCACAGGGCACGGGGAACAGCAGCACGACATGGAAAAACAAGGAAATTAGACCTCGGCGTTCTCCAGTTCATCAATGGAAATGAGCTGGAAGAGAGAAGAGGGAGAGAAGAGGAGGAAACGTTAGGACAGGCAGAGCCAGCGGGGGCATGAGACCGCGGCCAGCGGGTCTTAGCGCTGCTGCACAGAGCGAAGCGTGTCAGAGGGCACCCTGGACGTCTCCGTGCCTCCCAGGAGGCTGTCCCCGGGGCAGGCAGCAACCCTCGGTCACGTGACCAGGTGCCCGGAACCCACCTTTCCAGGTCTGTGTGGACGTGGCACTGCCCATCGCTGAGGGCAAGGGCTCTGTCCCCGCGGAGAGACCCACAGGCTTGGGGAAGAGGGCGGGAAAGGGCAGGTGAAGGCGGGGGTCAGACCCACTCAGCTCAGGAGGGAAGGCTTTCTTCCCACTCATTTGCCATCCCGGAGCGGGGGGGCTGTGGTCCGGACCCAGTTGGGGTGAATCCGCACCAGCCGGGGCTGAATTATCTTTCTTCCTTGAACGTCTCACAGAGGATTCGGAGACAAGGACGGCGGTGTGCAGCTTCAGGGTCACTCTCTAAGCGGGAGGACTGCTTCACGCTGTCCACTCACGGGGCAGAAGGGAGACACCAGGGTCCTGGACAGCAGGGGGTCACGTGACCGGCCCTCCTGCGGCCCTGGGCTCTCCGTGCCACCCCGAGCCGCCCCACGCTCTGGGCTCCTGCCCCCTGGCCTGGCTCAAGGCGATATTCATCAGGAATCCGGACTGGCTTCCACTTCGCCAAGCAACAGACCCACACGGTTGAGCCTCGCACAAGGCGGGTTCAAACGGGGGCAAATGGGCATGTGCGTGGGCCCTCGCAGCTCGAGCCCGCATGTTCAAGGGGGGACTGTACGCCCCAAGCCCAGACTCTCTAAATCCCGGGGCTGCTCGTAATTCAAGAAAACACTCGGCCAGGCTAGGGACGGTGCGTGCCAACTCGAGCGATGTTAGTAACCATCCATTGGCATCGAGTCCGAGAAAGACCAAGAGCTGGTCACACGCTGCCTGTTGCAGGACAGAGGCCGGACCTGAGGGATTATTATTATTAGGCTGCGCTGACATTTAGCAAGTTTAGCTGCTGCTGAAATCATGGCGCCTGAAACGCTCACCTACACACACATGGCTTCTTCGGAGAGAAAAGCAGCGGGTGGCCGCCAGGGGCTGACGGTCTGCGTGAAAGGCAAACCCCAATGTTACCCGAGGTCACGGCTCTGCAGTCATGGAATCGCTACCCCCGCTCAGAGGGAACCTGGGCATTTCATAACTCCTAACAGGCAAGTTCTCTCACTGTGACCCACGCACACACACAACGCTTGCAGGCAGGGGACAGGCAAGCACACCTGGCATATGATTTGGTAAAAAAAACCCACACGCAACCACCACCACCAACAGCTTTTCCCAAGGCTGCCTCCGACGAGGACCTCTGCCCTGTTTCCTTGAGGGGAAGGTCCCTTTGTGGCACCAAGTCGCAATTTCGAAAAATATAATCATCTCAATAAGCTACGTCAAATCAGACAACAGCTACATAAACACAGCACGTAATCCCCCAAGCAAGAGAGGATGTTTAGTAAATGAATGGAGTGACTTTCTCAGCACATTTTTATTATGGAAGTTAATTTTTTTTACATGCAAGGTCCTTCTCCGTGACCACACACCGAGGGGGAGCGTGTCGCCTCCTCCCACCTCAGGCCCACCCCCAGGTGCTGAGCCCTCCATAAGGTGGTTGGCAACGATCGCTCGGATGTTGCCTGGCTTTGAACTTGGAAATCAACCATTGCCCTCTATGGCCACTTCACAGCTTGTCTTTGATCTCAAGTCTTCCCGATGCTTTTAGACAATAGAAAACTCAATGCAATAGGAAATCCAGATTTCACATGGCTGGCTTTGAAACAGAAACTCAAAATGAGCCTCAAGTCACAGGACCCCGTGGCCTTTCCGGGGAGGCCGCCGGGCATCGGGACTGTGGTCCCCGAGCAGCATGTAAGTCACTGAAGCGCTCACTTTCAACACATGATGTGCTCAACGTTTTACGGAGAGATGAGTTTCTGCTGTAAATGAAGGAGAGTATACTTTGTCTCACTCTGACTTAGATATGGAGGCCACGGATTTCCTGGTGTATGATAACAGCAACCACTCCTATCTATCCACCCACCACCCATCCCTGCATCCACCCACCCATCCATAGATGGACAGACTGACCAATGGGCAAACACATGTCCATCCACCCGTTTACCAATCCATCTATCACCTATCTACCCATCTATCTATTCATCCATTCCTCCATCCTTCCTTCCAAACATCCATCCACCCATCCTTCCATCCTTCCATCCACCCACCTACCCATCTATCATCCATCCATCCATCCAATATCAACCTATCCACCCACCCACTGCTCCTCCCTCCCTTCACCCACCTGTCCATCTACCCTTCAACCCGTCCATCTGTCCCTCCATCCATGTGTGCCATTGGCCAGCACAGACATGTAAACACCCTTCGTTTTCAACACGCAATCCTCCACCACCTCGGGGCTCCTGAAGTGCTCCCTCAAAATAAGCGCTCCCACCACGGACCACCCCCGCGGAAGGGCAGCGCCTCTGCCTTACGGCCCAGTCGTCGGCAGGTCAAAGGGGACTTCTCATCTCTAACCCTGGTCCGTCTCCAGCCCCTGCTCCCCACTCAGCACGCAGAGCGGGGAGCAGATGAGCCTGAAGGGGCTTGAAACCCGGGGCTGGGCCTCGGAAAGCCCACGCCGACAGCACAGAGCCCTGCGAGAAAAACGGGGCTGAAACGCAGTGACCTCGCTTGTCAGCAGAGCCGTGCTCAACCCCCACCCGCTAGCTCAGTCCCTTTACACAGACATTTGTTTTAGAAACAAAATCAGCAGTAAA